TTTGATATACTCCTATTCGTCAATTCATGCTATTTTGGTTCCTGATCTATCTGTGTTCCATTAGTTTCTTTGCCTGTGCACAGCTCTTGCATGATTCTCCTGCCCCTCCTCCCGCCAAGTGCACTGCCCAGTGATAAATGTGGATAAATCAGAATAATCTCCATGTTCTATCTCTTCATCAGTGATACTGCATTAGGATAAAATGTGTAACCAAGCAACAAATCAGTATTGAAAATATATGTAAATAGATATTTGTAGTAGCATGTACCTCACCCAGAAGCCAACCCAAATATAAATCATTGACTATTAAAGATCACAGGTGGAAACATATCCTCAAGGAGAAGCTACTGTCTGGGTGCAAGTCCTGCTGTGCTGTGTTCCAGAGAGAAAAGTCACATATATGGAGGTTTTCAACCACCAGTTCATGTTAAACACTCAAATTTAGATTTTAGTATACTCTGGTGCTTTCCTTATATTTTATTTTATTTAGAATTATTTTCCTGATGGCTTTCCCTTGAGTGTTTCTGCAAACATCGGGTGCTTTGTGATACATCTGTGCCACTCACAGAGACACAAAGATTCACATGATCACACACGTGTTCACTATATGCACACATGGCTGTGATGATCGTCCTCTCCGGGGCCATTCTGGTTGGGATATTTCCCCCACCCACTGTGTTTTCTCCTCCTTCTGATATTCTGCATCCAGCTGAAGCTATTACACCACAATGCTGCCCTCTTTTTGGACAGCATGTGATGGAGTCAGATGTCCCAGCTCCTAAGAAAGGATTTCACTATAGACTCTTCAGCGTCTTTATGCTGAGAGCTGTTATGGGAGCAATGTTTACAAATTAGTGCCTGCTGCAATCAATTTCTCTCCCATTCCAGGACCTGTCAACATTTCCATGAGACTATTCTGCAGATGAGCAAAATTCCCTTTTCTACCTTTCCCAGCTCTAAATTACAACCTCCACCACAGGTTGTGTGCAGCTAGTGCTGCTGTCTGGTGCAGCAGGAGCAGCTTCTCTCTCAGAGTTTCTGGAACCTTCTGGATGTGGTTTCCACACTGCGCCTTGCACAGCTGTACACAGCCAAGTCCTCGGCCTTCAGGCAGCTGCTGATCTGCAGATGTGCTGTGCTGGCAGAGGGTTCCAGGGAGAAGACAAACTGAGGAGGATTAACATTGTGAAAATTGCAGTTTTGCCAAAAAGCTATCTACAAATTCAGTATCCAAATTCAATATTCCAACAACACTCTTTAATGGAATAGAAGAAGCAATCCAAAAATGTAGATGGAATAATAGAAGACCCCAAACAGCAAAATAATCCTTAACAGGAAGAACAGTGTTGGAGAAATATCAATACCAAACTTCAAACTCTGTTATAAAGCCATAGTTATATAAAAACAGCTTGGCACTGGCACATGAACAGGCCTGAGGACCAATGGAATAGAACTGAAGACCCACCGACCTATGGCCACCTAATCCTTGATAAGGGAGACAAAAACATCAGATGGAAGAAAGACAGCCTCTTCAACCAATGCTGCTGGGCAGAATTGGCTATACATAGAAATCTTGAAGTTAGATCCTTATATATCACCCTGAACCAGAATAAATTCAAAATGGATAAAAGACCTCAGGGTAAAAGCAAATACTCTGGGAATATTACAGGGACAGATAATGGAAGCACTAGGGCTCCTTGGCACAAGTTGAAACTTCCTAAATAAAGATACAGAATCACAAAAAAAATTTTTTTTAAAAGCTGGATAAATGGGATCGCATTGAACTGCAGAGCTTCTGCATGGCAAAGGACATAGCTAGCAAGATAAAAAGAAAGCCCATGGATTGGGAGAAAATCTTCACTAGCTATACAACAGACATGGGCCTCATATCAAAAAATACTTAGGGCTCAAAAAAATTAACCCCCCACTCCATTAATAAGTGTGCTAAAGAATTAAAGAGATTTCTCTGTAAAGGAAATAAGATGGTCAATCTACACACGAAAAAATGATGAACATCTGTCCTTAAAAGAAATGCAAATCGAAACTACACTGAGATTCCAGTTAGAATGGACATGATCAAGAAAACAAATAATAACAGATGCTGGTGGGGATGTGGCCAAAAAGGAATTCTATCACAACATTTGTGGGAATATAATCTGGTCCAACCATTCTGGGAAGCAGTATGGAGGTTCCTCAAAAGACTAAACATAGAATTCCCCTATGACCCAGAAATCTCATTCCTAGGCATTTATCCAAATGATTACTAGCACTAAAGCTACACACACAACTATGTTCATTGCAGCATTGTTTACCATAGCTAATATATGGAATCAACCCAGATGTCCCTCAGTAGATGAATAGATCATTCATATGTAACACACACACACACACACACACACACACACAATGGAATTCTATGCCTCCATCAGAAAGAATGACATTGCCCCATTCATAAAAAACAATGGAAAGACTTGTAGAAAATCATACTAAGTGAAGTTAGCCAGACTCAAAGAAACATAGGCTCCATGGTTTCCCTCATTTGTAACAATTAGTATATGCTTAGGATAGTTCTATCAGAGGATCATAATAGCCCAATAACTATGTATGTATGACCACATAAAATGATACTAATTGAAATGGTCTCCACGATATGAAAATGAGAGGGTGTTTGTTGTTGTTTTTCTAATTTTTAGTGTATTGTTTGCTGTTATTTTTTGTCTTTCATTTCTTTATCCTCTGGTTTATTCCCCCATGGTCAATGTTTCTGATCTTGGTATCCATTGTCTTGTACTTAAGTTTATCTGATTTGGGGAAAGAAAGGGGAACCACAGCAAAGGGTGAACCAAAGCAACAAAGATACTCACTAGACACTATGTTGGAAATGAACTGCATAAATTTGGGGGAGAGGAGGCAGAGGGGAGGGAAAGCAGTGAAAATGAGGAATGAGATAACACTGTTCAAAAGGAAATGTATTCATTACCTTACCTCTGTAACTGTAACCCTTCTGAACATCACCTTCACAATAACAGAAAATAATATGTATAATAGCAATAAAGCAGCTTATGAATATAAAGAAATATGATACCACTAGTAGAAATTCCAATTGTATTGATTGTATGGGAAACAATTCCTCTGCTGTTAAAACTTAGAAATATCAAAACAGAAGGGACTGAACTTACTTTAAAATTTACTTCTAAGAACTATCACATCCTCCCATTTAGAAGCACAAGTTCATTGTTACATGGAACAATTATCAGCATTTGGAATGTTGATAGTGGAAACTTTCAAACTGCTTTAGAGTGTGTAAATAAGTAGAGTGCTTTCATTGCATCATTACAAAAAGTAGACACATTCTTGAGGAGGCTGCAGATTCTGCACTGAGGGAATGGTGGGCACTGACAGAGAAAATAAGATTCTACATATTTGTGATCTTTAGGAATCATTTTACCCCATCTAGAAACTGTAAGGTTCGCTCCTGGATGGCTAGCAGACTCCACCCTCCTCGCAGCAAAGTCTCCACCCAGTACCTGCATTACCTAGGCAACGGGGACACTTGGAAGAGGTCACATCTGCATCTGCTGAGGTCACATCTGAATTTGATATGGCCACACCTTTCTCCACCCATACCCTAGATAAGGCCGAGCCCAGGGCCAGACTCTCCCTCTCTGCTCTTTTCTAGCTCCTTTCTCTCTATTTTCTCTCTCTTTCCAGCTCTCTCTCTTTTCCAGGCCTTTCCCAGTCACATGGAGTGCCAACCTTGCCTGGTCCCAGCAGGTCTACTGCATAAACCTACCCCTTACCTGAATACCACATGCGTGGTGCTGTTCTTACTTGGCTACCTCTTTTTAAAAACCTAACAGAAACCTAAAATGCCATCCAAGAAGCATCTTCTTGGTGTGTATCTTAGGTTATCTCAGGTCCACTGGGCAAAGCACAACAAACATCTGCATGCAATTTCGTCTGTCATCCATCATGATGTCTCACAGGGGTGTGGCTTGCAGAGACAGAAACACTGTCCCTGAAGTCCAGTCTCATCTGAAGGTCTCCTATGTCACCAGTCATCAAGGTGATCCACGACAGTCTGAGCAGGGAAAAGTCAGCACTATACCCACACCACCTGTGGCAAGGTCAGACGTATCCCAGACTCCTAATGACCACTTCACAGTGGTCACAATGCCTCTACACAGAGGACAGCAGGAGGGTGCTGGGTAATGGAGACTGAGAAATCCCATCACCTTTCCCTAGAGACTTACAGGAGTTACAGTCTGTGCCACCCCTGACTCCGGATAGAGAGATGAACCTGGGATTGAGAACAGAGACATGAACCCAGGACTGAGAACAGAGATATGAACCCGGATTGAGAACACAGGGCTTACTAGTTTCATGTTGTATTCTGGTGAGCAAAGAGAAAGGGAGATATAAGGATAAGGGTGATTCAGTTAAAAAAATAGTTAAAAATAAAAGTGATTCAGGTTGATATTTATGGTTCCATGATAAGACAGGGAGATTTGAGCCTTGAAGTTTTATGGGTCAATGGCAGAGGAGACCTGGAGTGGGAGAGTTCCAGTCACAACATGAAATTTGAAGTCTATCCTCACCAGGCCTTCTGGAAAAACAATCACCAGTGGCCCCGAGCTTCCTCAGATGCTGATCCTGGGTATCACAGGGGAGTCAACTCTGCCCCTTCCCCAAAGCTACATTCTTCATTCTCTTCCTGTGAGATGTGTCATATATGTCAGTGTGTGTATGCATGTGTGTATACAATTACAAATCCAGATACTAACTTTACATTCAGAGACATCACAGATTAGAAAAGACCACAGCAATCCACAGGGAATCCCTGGGAAAACTGTTAAATGGAGATATGGCCCAGACCCAGGAGACCAGCTCCTGGCTCCTGTAGCATCTGCTCACAAAGCTGATTCTCAGCTTAGTGTGTTCTGGCTGCCCCCTGCTGGTCAAAATCACCCCTGCCAGGAGGTTTGTGTCAGGGCTCAAACTGGAGTTTCTTCACTGTGTGGTAGTACAGTAATACGTGGCTGTGTCCTCGGCCCGCAGGCTGTTCATCTGCAGATAAAGCATGCTCTTGCCGTCATCTCTGGATATGGTGAATCTTCCTTTCACAGACGTAGCATATTCTGTTGTGTAACTATTAGCTTTGAGTCTAATTAAGCTAACCCACTCCAGCCCTTTCCCCGGAGCCTGGCGGACCCAGTACATCCAGTAATCACTGAAGGTGAATCCAGAGGCTTCACAAGAGAGTCTCAGGGACCCCCCAGGCTGCACCAAGCCTCCCCCAGACTCCACCAGCTGCACTTCACACTGCACACCTGCAAACACAGAGAATCCTGGTTAGGGAGCAGTTACAATACCTACTGTGCCAGTTTTATCCATTCATACAACCCATATGTCAAGTCACCCACAAACTACCTGTTAAAATAGCAACAAGGAATAGCCAGCTCAGCTGCAGATCCATGATCCGGTCTGATCACGAAGTACAGGGAATCCAGGACCAGGCTCCTCTCAGAGCTACATGTTCCAGACTAGGGGCTGGTTTTCAAGGGCAGCAGCAGGCCCGATTTGCATGTCTTCCTGCTATATAGAAAGCTCTGCAGTTGGAGCCTACACGCAGTGCTTTGTGTGTAGATGAGAGAGAGATAGTGAGCCAAGGGCTGCCATGTGCATGTGGAACAAGGGATTCAACTGCCCAAGGGAACAAAACGATCTAAGGGGCAGAGGTGAAGAGGGCTGACTCTTCCCACCTGAGACAGGTGTGGACCTGGGAAGGCGGTCCAGATAGGACCAGTGTGCTAGTGGACTGAGCTATTTGGACAGGAACTTTCTTGGTTCCATTCAGTGTTCAGACTACTAACAGACAGCACATTCTGGGTAGCTTGACTGAATGATTTTCACAGTCTGGATTTTCTGCAGTCTGGAATCCAAGGTCAAAGTGGCAGAGTACTTGTTTCCTAGTCACTCTCTTTTCAAGGTTTGATGAAAGGCAGGTGAACACCTACTGACCATTTACGTGCATCTACCTTCTTAAATTACACTAAATAATTGGCCATGTTGTCACATGGGGCCCTGTGAATTTTGGGAATGCAATGTAGCCCACACCACCAGTGTAGAGGTGATCAAAATCCTTGACATGTTCTATCAAGAGATAAAATGGAGTAATTTGAAAATCAGCCTTAAGGAGAGTTGGTTCTTGGGGAGATCTGCTATCATGGTAATCTTGACAGATGAAGTGTATCTAGTGTTTTCCTCTCTACAGGTCTTCCCCATTCACTCAGCCTCTTCCCAGTTGGAGGGTCCCACTTCTAGTGTAAACACTGACGCTAAAGTAGTGAGAGTCAGTAGAGGCAAGGGACATGACCTGTGAGGGCTTTAGCAGGCCACCACTGTATCTGGGCCAAGACATTGGAACACACATAACGGCAGAGCCATGAGCTCACCCACAGCCTCCCCACACAATCCTACCAGAATCCTTGAGATATTCATATTTGTCTGCTCCAGCGGGAAAACAAAACCCACCCTTCCCTTCATGTGGTCAGAGTCCATGCATCACATGAAATGTTTCAAAGATGTAGAAGCTTCGTACTGATTGTGTAATTGGGGATTTGCATGGGGATGCATCCCCATGCGAACACATAGCAGAGAGACTAGAGAGCCCAGTTAACTGACTCCCACGGGGAGAAGGTTGCTGCCTGGTCCCTCAACCCATCTCTTCTGTCATCCTCGCCATTCCAGATCCCTCATCTGTCAGAGTTGTGGTGAAGGAGCTGATCAGAGAGCCAGATGTGCATACACACACATGTACACACACATACAAGACGTCTGTCCATTACATTTTACATACATCTGTTACGTTTTGACTCACTCAAGCCCCTCTGGATGGTCTACTGCCTGTATCTCAAGGTAGCACTAAGCTGACCGTCGCCCTGTGAAACAGAAATGCTATGAGCACTCACCTTGAATTGAGCAGGGAATACCTGCTCTGTCTGCCAGCATCTCACACCTGTGAGACTGAGTATCCTTCTTCCCCCACTCCACTCAGAGCAGCATCATCACCATAACTTTGACTTTCACTCATCTTCACCTAGCTGTCTCTGAAAAACCATTTTCTCTGTGTGAACACAACAGTGACCTTGAGGTATTTCACCCCAACTCTTCAAGAATATTTGTTGAGAGGAATGAATGATGAATAATCTGCATCTTTGAGTAAAGGAAGTAGGCATCAAGAGAGGAAGGTGAGACAGGAAGTAGACACTCAAGAGAGGAAAGGTGAAACAGGAACATTATTTTGGAAAGATGCTTACATTTTTAAAAATAGTAACAGCACAGATTGGGCCTCTGCTCAGAACTCTGGGCGAGTGGGCTGACCTGCTGTGGGATAGTGAAGAGGAAGACACAGAACCTAGGAATTAATCAGAGGAAGAGGAGTCTGTCCTGGTCCCTGGGAACTGAAGAACTTGGAAATACACTGATGTGTGTGTGTGTGTGTGTGTGCGCGCACGCGCGTGTATTCTCTTACTCTTAAAGAATATGTACAAATTACCTATACACCACCTTGGATTTTCAAGTTTTTATTTTCTCTAGTGAGAGCATCAAACCTCCTCTCAGTCATTCTGGCATACGCGCGCGCACGCACACATGCACACACACACACATACACACACACACACACACACACAAAATCTCACATTCTTTTTGTTTGTTTTGTTTTTGTTTTGCAAGTAATGGGGCTTGAACTCTGGGCCTGGGCACTGTCCCTCAGCTCTTCAGCTCAAGACTAGCACTCTTCCACTTGAGCCACAGCACCACTTCCCGCTTTTTTTTCTGTGTATGTGGTGCTGAGGAATCAAACCCAGGGTTTCATGCTTGTGAGGCAAGCACTCTACCACTGAGCCACCTTCCCAGCCCTAATCTCACATTCTTGTTAGCTCTACACTCCTAATTATACAATAGAACACAAGAACACACACCTCCTAGCTGCTTGCATTTTTCTATACATTCACCAACCTCCAACTCCCCTGTGCTCTACAACTTTATCCACTTCTAGTGATCATTATTCTCCTCCCTGCTTCTATTTAACTTGCACGCACAGAGAATCCTGGTCAGTGCACCTCACACTGCACCCCTGCACACATCCAGCATGCCCATCAGTGCACCTCACACTGCACCCCTGCACACACCCAGCACACCGCACTCCTGCATATACAGAGCATACCGGTCATGCGACCTCTAAATCACTTGAGACATGTCTATGTATTTTTCTTTGTTAATTTTCAGATATAATCTCATATTTTTTGCCAGAGACTGGACTTGGATTAAAGTCTTCATTTCTATGACTCTCAGATAGCTGGGATTGTAGGAACATATGGTCATTTCTAGTTTTTTGAGATGAGATCTTTCTAATATTTTGCCTATGTAGACCTCAAATACCAATCTTCTCAACCTTCTCAATCTTCTCAACAGAAAATTACTTAAGAATAATTTTTAAAACATTCTTTCTGTTGGGGACAACAGCCTCTGTTCAAGGGCAAGGAGAGAGCAAAGGTTTGGGGAGAAGCTCTTGCTGTCAGATGTACCTGCAAGAGGCTCTGTCTTTCATTACTTGATGCATTTAACCATGTATTTATTGTAAGTGATTATTTGTGAGTTTGTTCACTTATTTCAGGCAGGGCTTAAGCAAAAGGGAGTCCATGAACTTTCACAATAGTTATCAAATGATGAGGTAGCAGAGAATGAAAGAACAATAAATGTGACTAAACTCATTAAAGTTCAGTATATCTATATGTGAAATGACACAAGGAAAAATCCTCTGGGCCATTAACATGCACTTACAAATGAATTACAGGAATTAACCCAGTCCTGCTTGTGGTTGTGCACTAGTGCAGAGGAAGAGTGAGCTGCAAGGATGGAAGAGGATGAATATGGACAAACTGCTTCGTGTGCACATAGTAAAATAGAGCACAAACCTTGGTCAGATTGATTTATGAGTTGTGGAGGTGGATGAGAGATTGAGGGGATGAGTTTTACCAGGGTATATTGTATACATGTATAGAAATGTCACAAGGAACCCCCTCATTATGCAACTAATATGTTGTAATAAAAATGTTTTAAAATGATGACTATTTGGAACAGTTATAATGCTCATATTTACATTTAGTTTATTCATCTATGAAATGTAACCCATTGTACTTCTGAATTATTTGAATACTTGGCATAATAATCAGGATTATAATTACTTCTTTGCTAGGTCTTGGAAAGTTTGGAACCATTTTCACAATATTTTATACTAAAAGGGGAACGAACATCTGTATTTCTACAGTCATATTTTTCCCCTCTAAATTCCAGGAAGCACTTTGCAGGTGTGGAGATTAAATTCACAGCCCTCCACCGGCTTCCTGTAGTGAGTGATTCCTGAGCAAACCCTGCTGAACAAGTTGCTGAGCAGCCCTCAGGGAGGTTTGTGTCTGGGTTCACACAAGGCTCAGACCACAGTGCTTGGGCGCAGTAATACATGCCACTGTCCTCAGCTGTCAGGCTGCTCAGCTGTAAGTAGACTTGGTTTCTGCCTGTGTCCCTGGATATGACGGCTCTGGAATGCAGGCTGGGGCTGTAGTTGATGCTCCCCTTAGCCCAAATCACACCAATCCATTCAAGGCTCTTGTCTGGCCGAAGCCGTACCCAGGACACAGAATATTCAGATATGGAGAATGTGTATGTGGCACAGGTCAGGCTGAGGGTCTGTAAGGACATCAAGACTCCTTCACCCCATTGAACAATGTGATCCTCAGTCTGTACCCCTAGGGAGAGGAAATGACCATAAATCACAGACGTACATTAGACACCCGACAACCCCTCTCATCCACATTGTCCCATCTTAAACCTCATGAGTGACTCACCACTGGGAATAAACAACAGACAGAACAGGAGAAAGAGAGAACCCATGTGTTTGTGGAAGTGGAAGAATTGCCAGAGACCCCAGTCCTCAAGACAGGACAGAAAGATGGTTTGCCAACCCCTATACTTACTTTGAGCTGAGGTTGATTTGCATGGGTGGATCTTGTGAGAGCCTTAGGTGAGTAGGCTATAGCACTGGGAGGTCAGAGCTTCACTGGCTCTCCTGTGATAGGTCAGGAAAAGGAACCATCTGGAAGAAATTGAACATCAACATTGGAATGTAGGAAAAGGCAACATGGAGTTTGCCTCAGATCTGTGCAGGCAAGACTGGCAATGAATCAGCTTTGAACACCTTAGGTAAACCATCTTACCTTGACAATCCATGAGGCTTGCTGGCTTCACTTGTTATATATCTGTCTTCCTGATGCTCTAAATTCATTTTGTGATGAGAGCTCCAGTCGTTTAGGATGGTACAAAGCCCTGTGACCTTGTGTTTCCCCCATTGGCACAGCAACCATCACCCCAAGTGCCTGTAGGCACGATAAAAGTAACTTCCAGGGCTCAGCCATTACTCAATGCTGCAGCCAGAGCCCTCTGGGGATATTAGAAAACACCA